AAGAGAATTTCGCGGACGTCCAGTCGCTACGCGTCCCCAAAGTTCCTCGGTGGAAGATCCGAAACTCCGACAATCGCAAACTGCAGAAATGTTCCGTACAGAGATTAGACTTCCCTTCCGGGGATACGTTGCTCGTATCGCAACGTTAAACTCCCTTTCGACCTCGAAGGAATCGAATAATCGTGGACGTGTGACTTTCTTCCACAAGCTACGATAGTTGAGCAACTGTAACTATATATGAAACTATCCACTTTTGATTGCATTGTGAAAAGAAACTCTTCCTTATTTCGTGCGAAGACATTGATGATACTCTCTACGTGGGACAGCTGTGTGGTTGGAAAAGTTTTTAATGCACTTTAATCTCACAAAAGAAAGCCACACTTAGGATATTCATTCATTGTAGGACAAGTAAAAAGATCACACTGACCGCTGAGTACTTTTTAATTAGTATTACGCTTAGCATTTTTTAACAAGTTCGTATTTGCATACAACTTGATATTAATGATGCAAATTATAAGATCGTGGTCCTTTATATCTCGCGATTCTTTATGTTATTTCACGTCTCTCTATTTTCTACTTTTTTCTCATACTCGTTGAGTAGATGACTATTTTTGTGAACAGTAAAACTTTGTTTTCAAACTTTCTATATGCATTAATATAAATTGCTATCATTTCTTTACAATTTTCTCATTATAAATTCCTATTATTTCCTTACAAATTTCTCATTTTGCGTTCATTAGGATGTATATTTAGTGTATATTTAGTGGCTACAAGTACAATTTTCAAACTGGTGTTTTTTGAGTAACGAGATACCTCGCGAGATATACATTGCAAATGTAATATATGACGTTATGATGTTTTGTGGTCCGTCAGATACAAACAAAAACACTTAGTTTCTAGTGTCACACAGAAGTTTTAATGAGCAATTTGTTGTATACGTATATACATTAATTTATTTACCGTGATATCAAAGGATCCAGTCAATAAATATTCTTTCAATTTTTAGACATTGTTTGCTATAATATTTAATAAACAATTAATGGCTTTTTACTTAATTAATTAACTTGAATTTAACTATAGTTGTATCACATAACAAACATTTATCATGGTTTGTATTCTTCGATATCACAATTCTTTGTATCTATATTACACAGATAATTTTCGCATTTGAAATGAGCTTCGTATTTCATTGCACGCGAAACATTAAATGCACGCAAGATATTCTGTTCCTAACGACGCGTTTAGAGAAAATATCACGAGATAGAAAGCATTTTAAAGACATTTCTGTAATTGCTTATAATGGACTAACATTACAGAATAATTTCCACCACTGAGAAATGATAAGCATTTTAATCTCTGTACGATTTGAAAATTATTTCAAAAATGTCGAATCGCAAACTGACCGGAACTATGAATCCCGAATCTGTTTCATCGAGATGGCTTACAAATTAATAAACAATGATCAAACTATATAGTGAGTAAAGTTTTAGTGGAAAATTGAAAAATTTCGTTCGTGATTGTTTCCGGATATAAAATTCTAAAATATTTAATTCCACTCTCGAAAGTACAAATGAACTGGTACGTGCAGTGACGTTCAATCTGTCGTTCCCATTTTCATATCGCTGTTATTCCAAAAGTTTGGTCTTTCAGTGAATTAATCGCGTCGATTTCCAAGTCGCGATCGTGTCCAAGTCCATCTCCTTCTCAAACAATTAGGGATTCCAAGTGAGTACCGGCCTCGGCTGTTTAAAGACTCTTCTTAAACTTCGCGCCGGTAATTTTTACGAATCGTCATGCTCGCAAAACTCGGCGATCCCGACGTGCTTAATGAAGAACTCTCTTTTAACTGTTCTCCCACAAAATTGTGGATTTCTACCACTCCGGAACTACACGATTTTTTCCCTTTCCTCGCGTATTCATCCTCTTTCATAGGAAAAGACGAAATTTATGCGTATATTTATTCTATGATTTTGTAATTTACTACTTACAATTCTATCGATATGATCTCTTATCATATAGATTATTTCAATGATCCCTATAATTTCAATAATGTTTATGATTATATATAAAAAAATTTTTTTATCTGAAGATTAGATTATGATATTCTTATGTATTTTAATGTTCGGAAATCAAATCCAATGTTATAATTTTTTTTCAATCAATGAAAAGTAACTCAATTTTCAAGTATTTTTAGAACCATTTATGGTCAGACTTTTAATATGCAAGCTGAAAGTAAAAAAGAAAGTAAATTCAATAATATGCAAGCTTATAAAATTAATATGCAAGTCAATAGGTTAAAAATATTGAAAAATCGAGCTATTTTCCGTCAATGAAAAAAATGTAATATGATTGAGCAATTTGGACATCGGGTTCGGTTTCAGAACATTAAAATACGTAAGAATATCATAATCTAATCTCCGAATCAAACATTAAATTTTATTTTGTGTGCTTATCTGTATTATGATAGTTCTGCTTATTGCTTTTGTAAAATATAGAGAATAATAATCGTGAGCGTTAACTCTTTGCGGTCTAAATTATTTCTCATAAATGAACGAAAATTAAATATTTTGTCTTTAATTCAATCTAATCAGGGGACATATTATAAATTGCAATATTTTTTTTATTATGTAGAAGAACTTATAAAAATTAAGATTTCAAAAATTTACTGATCGATAATCATGCTGATTCGAATTATGCAAAACTATCGCAAAGCTATCTACCGAGTTCAATTTTGACAAGGACTGCAAAGAGTTAGTAAATTTAATACCAATTTTAATATTATATCACTGTGTTTTACCTCAAAAATAACAATTTAAAAAATGTTATTTTCGAATTGTTACCATAAATGTGATTTAGGTAATTATTATCTTTTAAAATCATAAAAAATAAATTAATTTAATTTAATTCATACAAGGTTAAAGTCGTTCACAATTCAATAAGGGTAGTTTTTTAAGGATTGTAGAACAAAAATGAGAAAAATGACATTTAATCATATTAAGAACATATTCTTTTTGATATTATTTAATTAGTCAAATAATTTTATGTTATGTTAAAAAATAGTTTTTCCTTTTTATCGAGAAACTTAATTTTTTAAATTGTGCTACTTTTAAAGTAAGGGAGCGATATATCGACATCATAAAGTTTCTGTTTTAGAGTCAGATTATATTGCTACGTGTCTGAAAGTTTCTAGACTTTTATAGAAAGCCTTAATCAAATATTGCGACCTTCAATACTGATATAAAAAAAACACTTTATGATCTGATATAAACAAATTTTTACATTTATAATTTAAAATTATTTAAAAGACAGCATTAAATTCTTGATATTTTAGAAAATATTTAGGATGTTAAAAAATATATTGCAGTTTCTTCGGAAGACAATTTTCCTAAATATATGTACACAATAAAATCTTTTTATGAATTAATTAATTCATGTAATGTTTAGCGTAATAAATATAAATTATCGTCATTAAAAAAATTTTTTAAAACGTATGCGTTTATAAAATATAAATGCATGTTTAAAAAAAATCATATTATAAATAATTATATGCACGTAAAGGTATATTATAAAATAATTATATACACGCGCGGTCGATGAATTTAAAGAAATTCAGTTATAGTCTTTTATATTTTGTATGTAAATATCTCTAAGTTAATGTTAAAAATTTTATCAATTTTATAGTGTCCTATAGCGATTACAATTATGATAAAAACATGCAAATTATATCACAATATGCAGATAAGCGATAATCAAAATTAAATATAATAAGGACAGGTATTTAACTTTCTTGAGACTAAAAGACGTTTTCTGCCTTTTCTGTAAGTTCGGCCTACATTTCCTTCAGTCAATCATTAATAATCAATCTACCGGGGGAACGCGATAGGGGAATTAGCATTATCGTGACGATAACGACCAAAATATACGAGAACCTGTTGCAGCGATAGAAAAGCAGCTCTCTCTCTTTCTCAGTAATCCGCAATAACGATTCACAAAATTCTCCATAAAGTTCGACGTGTCATGCGTCTTAGAAAAGTTTCGAAATTTTGAAACTCACTTACGGAGAATACTTGGAAAGTTCGCAAAAATCAAACCGTCAAAATCTAATTCCAACTTCAATATGATTCATTCTTTTCAAATAAAAATTTTCATTCCGTTCAATCGACGTTATTGTTCGCAATGCCTTTAATTACGACCTACTTCGCTAATGATGGGTTAATTTTTATCCATGTATCTATCGTCAAATTTTATGAAGGTAATGCATATTTTTCACGTTGAATTTCACGAGACTCATCGAAGTGATAAAATTGAGCTTTATCATCCTCTACATCGACTCGATTATGATTCTCGCAAGATTACGCCTTCATGCCTTGTAAATTAAAATTTCCATCGTCGACGTTATCTTACAAGTTATTTTTACCCGCGAACTATTTCGCCGGTGAACGAATCGATTTTCTCGATAGACTCGGCATCAAATTTCACGATGTTAAAAACGGCAGTGTAATTTGCGGTTACAATTTGCGGGTCTCATGAAACTCGAGATGCAGCGGTATCCGTCACACTCTTGATACATAAAACCACGGAACAACTGATAGCACATAAAAAATTATTTTTTCTCGGGCACAATTCTCGGTGTCGCCTTTTAAAGACACCATTTTTTTTCAGCTTGGCGAAGAGGGATCTCGGTTTTCTTCATTCACTTTCGCTCTTAGAAATAACTCGATATATACTCTCGCGTCACGACACGAATCACGTGAAATTTTATGCCGGTCGCTCACATCACTGCGTGATACTCGCACTTGGAAGCATTTTTCTATTAGCGTTTCCAGTTTCCCTAAAATCGGATTCTTCATGTAAGTCGAGGTATCCGCGAGAAACGGGAGGAGGGTGAAAGAAAAAGATTTAATCATGCTGTTTCGTGCTGAAATGAAATGAAGAACTAAGGTAAAAAAAATCGCCGACACTCATCATGCACAGGGACTATCATTTGAGTGTATATTCACGATTCTCGGCGGTCGTCCTGTTAACGACGGGATGATAGTGGTAGTGTCTGGGTACATCGTCGCTCACCTGGGGTAGAATCATGACGTGCGGCAGCTGGCGCGCCTCGCCGCGCACTGACTCTCCCGCACGCCCCCGAGAGCGAGCGACGCGTTCCCCACGGCGCGCGCCCTCAGCCGAATCCACCCCCGACAACCCTCTCAGCATCCACCACTTCTTATACGACTTACCCCGTAACGTTACTCTCTTTCTCCTCCCCTCTGAGAGGAAGAAAAGAAAAAACCCTTCATGGGCGGCTACGAGATGTTAAACTAGACATACGGCGATCGCTTTCACTAAAGCTTTCACTCAACTATAATTGCAGTTCCAGATATTAATGCGTTCAACTAAACGAAAAAAAGATTTGCTGACAAATAAATTCCATGGAATAAAACGAGAATATAAAATAAACATACATAAAGAATATATATAAGTCGAATTGAAAATCTCCTTTTTATGAAATCGGTTAAAAAGATGAATATATTATACAGTTAGAAAATTTGTGTCAAATTTAACATTTAATTACATTTGTCTCAAACGAGCCGTTCAAATTTTTGTGTCAATTTAATACAAAATAAATATGTTAGGAAATAACACGAACAGGTATTATGTAAAAAATTGACACAAAAGATAACATTGACACAATTTCTAAATAATATTTCTTCAGTAAAATTAGCGTTTATAATATATTAAATTTAGATATATATTACATTTTATTCATTTATTTTACAATTTAATATTTAAATGCATATATTATTCTTATATTATAATTGTTCGCTTATACTTATATATTATTATTTTAACGCTAATTTAAGGCTGAAAAATATTAAATATTAATTTAACAAAATATTCAAACAATGTAATCAAATTAATACTTGAGAGAGAGAATAAGTTAAAATTCAACACAAAAATTGTAACAAGAATGGATTTTAATACAACTGCAATGTATTTTTTACCTATTATTAGATTTAAATTAAGATTTTTCGGAGAAAACTTTGGTCTCTGTAATCGCGACATATTTTATAAAGACTAGAACATTTTATCTTAATTTACATTTGTAATGGATGATAAATTGAAAATAATAGTATTTTCGCTTAACAAAAATGATTGCGTGCTTTACTTAATATATAAAATGCAAATAGCAAATTTCTTAAGCAGAGAGATAAGTTATGTCATTCTTATCGCGTTATATGAAGAATAGCCCACGTGACGAAAAAACAGAGTAACGGCATGAAACGCATAATTTTGAATGCATTGCGTACTCCCACGTTATACGCGTGTAAACGATCCATCATTTTTCATGAACGATTTTGACGTGGAAACGGGACAGCTGTAAAAAGAAGGAATGTCTGATAGATTCGATATACCAGAATTTTTAATACTTGCTGTTCTTGTATCGAAAGATATGACATATTACACTCAAAACAGCTATAATCATGTTATATTCGAGTACGTTAAAAGTTCGAATTTAGTGCTAGATTTCGGGAAGCTCGATAACATATTCATATCAAAACTATCCGGTAAACTCATCGAAGTGCTGTCGTTCACAAAATGCATTTTAGAATGTGTCATATAAATCCACGTCTCTAAGGTAAATCGCCGATACGTCACACCGATCTTTCCCATGAAAAAGCGAGGATCACTGGATGCGCGACACCTACGCACTGATATAGACGGATAGACATTTTTCATCGTGCAAAAAAAAATGATATATGTCTTTTGTAGTTACACAAGATCAACTAGCAATGGAAATATACTTTCTCTCGCGGCAAATCTGAGTGATTCGTCTTACTCAATTACGGAATAAGACAATAATTCAGTTTAAGAGTGTCGCGATCGCAATATTTTTCCGTTCTATCAAAAATTTCCGATGCGACGCGAAAACATGTTTCAAAAGTATAACAAAAAAATGAGCTGATTTTCATTCGCCTGTCACAAGAAAAAAATTTAGCTCTATATCAAGTCATGCACTATGAATAGATATCGGGAACATTTTCTCAACGAACAAACACCGACGGTTGCGATTGACCCAGAATCAGCAATGACATATAAATCTATCATTCAAAAATTTGCATTTCTGAATGTTGAAAACATTCTGTTCTATTTGATAAGTTTGGATTAAAAGAAAAATATTTTATGACTATAATTGTTTAATAAAATAGAGTAGTTTCATTTATAATTGTTTAATAAAATAGAGGTAGTTTCATTTTTATTGTTAGTACTGTTATAGTATTAGTAATAATAATTATATATATGTAGTTCTCAAGAATATATGGACTATAATTTTATAGTCGTTTTCAAGGACAACTATATTGCTTGCTCAATGTTGAACAATAAAAATTTGCAAAATTGCGACATTATTTTCAAAAATCCAAAATGCAGACGATGAAGATTTCTCAGTTAAGGCTGTTATATGTATTAAAATAGAGCTATAATCGTCCACGTAATTAATTTATCACTTATATAACAAAAGACGAGGTTTTATTCTTAATAAATATTAACAAAATGCCAAGATTCTTTCTTTCTGATGTATGACCGTTGATTATCGCATGAGAAACAACCGTTAACAACAATTATTATTAATAAAAAACAAGACAAACAGCTAATTAAACCAAGCTAATTAAATGGAATTTAATAAGATAACGATACTGCGCCTCATTGAGTGATTGAGTGAGATAGATTGAGTGATAGATGACGATAAATTAAGATTAAGGAAAATTGTGAAAGTGACTGTCACTGATTCTAAAAATTCCGGATGTACATACATATAAGTCGTGACGCATATCGATCGTATTTGTGCCTCCATCCAAAAAACACGCATGTCTAAAAAATATCTTGAAACAGACATCTTTAAGCCCCTTCTAAAAGACGTCTAAAAATTATTCAAGTTTTGAAGCATGTATAGCTATTTACATTATTAAATGTAAATTTTATTAAATAATATCGAATGAAATTTATGACATCACAATCTGCAGATATAATACGTAACCTATAAAAATATTGGATGTCAATTAATCTGGCACTCCAATATTTTGTGTTATTAAAGTGTTGTGCAACTATACAATTATATGAAACGTATTGACGAGGGGAAGAATATAAGTTGGAATTACCTGATAAATTGGTATATCAATGATTTTATGTTTACATAACTTTTCTAACGACGAAATTTATATCTGTTGTAACAAATAAGTCATTATCGAAGATATATAAGTACAATTAATATACCGATTTGTCAGGTAATTTCAGCTTCATATTTTTCCTTTTATAACGCGTTTTTATGTCAATAATTTTATCTGTTTTTTTACACAAATGTCTGAAGCAAGACGTTACGAATAATGTCTATAAGACGCCAAAAAGATAATGTCCATAAGACGTCATAAATCAGGATATTTTAAAGATGTCATATAAATGTATTTTTAATAGTGCTAAAAAATGTCTCATAAATTTTTAAGACGTCTTTGTGATGTCTTATAAGAGTTCTCTGTCTCAATGTTCTCTGGGTACGCTCGAAAATTATAATACTTTCAGATTCTCGGAAAGGATGTCAATAGCAGAACTAATGCGCGGGATCAAGAATGAAATTAATCCGCTCGTTGACCCGCGAGGTTCGATCGTTTTGCTCTGGGGATTCTAAATCCGCAGTTACATTTTCGTTGCCATTCGATAAAATCTGTACACGTTGCTTCGTATACCGATTTATTGTTCTCAATAATCCCCTTCCAACACTCTTCATCCATCCTGTTAAATTGTATTATGTCGCAAATCAAATGATCGGGACCAAGCAATCAAGAAAAATCGATATGCCAAACGAAGCTGTGCTTCAGCTGAGGTCGTCAAATATTCAACTGGCAGTGTCGGGGCTTGATAATCGCAAATAAGACACGATGTGTTATATTGATAAATCTTACATATATTCAGTCATATATATTTTAAATACCAGAAAAGAGTCGCGTATATCACGTATATTGTATGATGAATTTTTCTTTTTCCTAATATGTTTTCAATTGATTAATATGATCGAATACTACAAAAGAAGTCTAATAATAGTTCTTAAATGTATTTTGTTGTACTTATTGTGAGTGGAGAGTGTTTAGTAGATATTATCAAACATAATAATAGTAACCATCTGATTATAATTAAAAAAGTAGGATAATATTTAGAAAAATAAAATTAGCGTTTAACTGATTATATTAACTTTTAAGTAGGTGGGATGATCAAATACCCCAAACAAACTATCTTTATAAGTTGATAATTTTTAATATGTATACATAGAGATAAATTTACATTCTTATTTATATTCTTATGAGATGTTCTTGTTTATATTCTTATGAGAGGAATGTAAAAATAACTTCTGAGCATTACTTTTTATTTCCCTTTTCCAGAACAGGATTGTTAAGATAATTTGTGCGTGAGATGTGTTGTGAGGTGCCATCGACCTACTTAAACATTAATCGAACATTTGATTGAAATTAATTCACCAAAGCTTTAGTAACTATTACTTATATTATTTTAATAAACATTACCAAACATAATAATAGTAATCAATGGTTTTTAGTAATAATTAGAAAATTAATATAATATTTAAGTAATTAAAAGTAAAATTAGTGTTTAATTAATTTTAATTATGAATATTGTGTTACTGTATTTTTTCAGGGAATGCTTTTATGTCGAAGAATAGATCTTTCTATGATAAACTCTTTCGAATATAAATAATTAATACTAAGCTGGAGACAAATGTTGAACACATTGTTGTATGCCCTTCGATGATTACGTGTCTGATAAACACAATGAAATACTATTCCGCGGCAGTCAATACGGTTAAAAAATACCAACCCAGAATATGTAACGGGAAAAATCGACGAGAAAAAATTTTTCTATACGGATTCTCAATGAAATTTTCCTTCGAGGAACCTAGTGCGAATGTTTTTCCCTGTTACACTTTTCACGCTCCAAATCGTTTCGCGTCGCGTACCTTTCGTCTGGCCGATGAAATGCTTGCATTTTTCTTGAGTCTTGCCAAGTGTACGCGACGTTTCACATTTTAGCTGGGCAAAACACAGTCCT